TTTTTCCACGGGAAAAAAGTTATTTATGAAAAGTGACATTTTATAACCTGCCAACAGAGATGAAGTGCCAAACTTTTTTCCCGTCACAGAAAAAAAAAATTTTTCTCGATAAACGGTCGGTAAAAATCACAAGAGATAAACTCATTACTTCCGATTCCTTCAGCAATTCTTCATGAAATACACAATGTTCATCTCTCTATATAACTAAAACTATAACGAACTCAAGTCTGGATATTATGTTTGACATTTACTTCTGTCATCTGGGTATAGAATAACTTCACTTCAGGTTACTGATGGGGAGAGTTCGATACTCGAAATTAGTAATTAGTTCAATCGAATGAAGTCATATAACTTTTTTGTTTCATTTCAATACTGAATATATTGGTGAGTCATATTTTTATACAATTTCACATCACATTATTTATCCGATTTGGAAGAGAATGTAAATTTTCAATATCAGAAGATTTTTATTGCCATTTCCTGTTCTTGAATTTTCAACAAACATAATTCAATGTTCAACGTGACAAATCGCCAGGAAAACTCGTAGGAAAATAGTTATTTTGCGTTGAATATTCAGATATATATTCATGAAAGAGAATGTAAAATCCCAAATTCAGATGATTTTATTTTCAATTTTTGTGTGTGTGTGTGTGTGTGTATGTGAGTGTGTGTAGGTGTGTGTGTGTGTGTCCAATATACAGTATGGTGTAAATGTATGGAATAAATTCATTATCGCCAACGCATATGAATTTGAAAAAAAATCCTGATACAGGTCGATTCTTATTTTCGAATTGACACTTCTTGATATACATACGGAGTTTGTAACGTCATCTGCGTAGTTGTGGTTACGTCATCGATTATTTTTTTTAATGGAAACATCCCCTTTTTATTTTATTTTTTGGAAGGTATATCCATTGTCTATCTAACCATATACTGATATTAGCAAAATAAGATAATACAGGGTGAGAAAAAAATATTATTCATTTTATATTTACAACGGAAACCGTTACAATGAATGTTCGAATTGGTTAACTTCTGCAATGATACAATGTGATACACGATATACATTGTTTCTGATGTATACAGGTCGAATTCTTCATTTATTGTAATTGTTTTCGTTGTAATTATAGAATAATTAATAATTTTTTCTCATCCTGTATTACTTTATTTTGCTAATATCAGTATATGGTTGGAAAGACAATGCATATACCTTCTGAAAAATATAATAAAAAGGGGATGTTTCCATTCAAAAAAATATTCGATGACGTCACCACAACTACGCTGATGACGTTACAAACTCCGTATGTATATAAAGAGGTGTCACCTTGAAAATAAAAATCGACCTGTCTCAGAATTTTTCTCCAAATTCACATGAGTTAGAGATCATGAATTTATTCCATACATTTCCACCATACTGTATGTAATTCAATGTTCGTCGTGGCATATAGCCAGGAAAGTAGTTCTTTTCTGTTGGATTTACCGAGAAAGAATTGATATTTTTATGAGATAGAGAATGCGAATATTCCTCATCGAGTTCCTCATCAATAGTTTCATACCAAATCAAGGATGAAACTTGAGCGATGGAAATTTATCATTTATTATTTTCTTCGTAAGATTTTGAACCGATTTTAAACCAATCAGAGCTTACGAATTACGTGGATATACATAGAGTAGCTCCACCAATCAGAAACTCAGAATTATTTCCTTCATCATTTCTGTTATTCCAACTATTTCCACAGTAACTAATTTACATTGTTACATACAAACAAGCGCGTCGTCAAATTTTGACGTTCGTTCAGACTAGGTACTCAAAAAAGAATCGCACCGTATACATTTCGAACTTCAAAGTATTCAATGTTATACATCTCAAACTTCCTGCACAATTGCAAATCATGTCAGTTTAACAGAATAAGGCTCCCGCTTCGCGGTCGGATCTAGTACTTATAGTACCGGGTGACCAGTTATATTCTGACCCATTTCAACTGCTCATATCTCCGAAACTATTCAAATTATCGTTGTGCGGTTTGAACTTCTCTATTTTGATATTCTTCAAGTTTTTTGACTGGTTCACCTTTTCACCTGAACCTGAACTTTGATGAAATTGCATAATCTCATTTAACTATTCCACAAGCAGTAGTTGTTTCAAAGAGGTATAACTCTAATAGTTATCTAGGAGAACATAACTTGTAATACATTGTTAGATAGGGAAGAGACCAGTCTTTCTGAATGTGCAAAAATATACAGGGTGATTCAATGAAATAAAAAAAGTTGCCCTATACCTGGATAATTGCTTGTTTGTTTCCGGTAGAACCCGAAGTTCAAGTGAAAAGATGAACACGTCAGAAAAAAACTTGAAAAACATCAAAATAGACTAGTCCAAACCGCACAGCGATAACTTGAATGGTTTCAGAGATATGAGCATTTGAAATGGGTCAGAATATAACTAGTCACCCAGTATTACTACTGATAATAACCATGTTAATGACGTATTTCATAAATGTTAAAATTGAAAGAGTTATGGGCAACTGCCGCGAAATTCAATTGCACGTACACTTATGTCTTCAGAGAACATGTCGCGGTTGGACGGTATGAGCGCTTTTATTTCAGCGACATGTTCTCTGAAGACGACTGTACTGATGTTGAGAACGTGAAATACTCTTTTTGCGTGCGATTGCACAAAAAACTGTTTTCTTGCGATTCATTGTATCTCCTACCTACTATACAACCCATTGTATTTTTTGCTCCATTTCAGGAAACATTCTGTATATTGGTGCCATAAATGTGCACCCCTATTCTTATGGTATTTCTACCAATCAGAACATTATTGCGATGCCTCGGAAGGAATAAAAAAATTCTCGAGCTTCATCGTCCTTTCTAGGTCGTATAATATACATCAGTATTCCGAAGGAAAATAAAACTCTATTTCGTATTCAAACAGGTTGTGGAATGAAGTGAAATCAACCTAAATGCATAAATCTGTCGAAACTATATATATATATAATCAAATATGGGTAGGTAGAGGGGAATTACTATTGAGTAAATTTGCCAGGATGTTTATCAATTATATCGATGTTTAACATCATTGAATTGCAAATAGAACTTCAATCCATATCAACAATAAGAAGCAGCATAATAACATAATGAGTAATTTCAGTTTCTCAAAATATTTTGGATGTTGAAATACCCGGCAACAGACAAGAGACACATTTTATCTAGGTGATTTAGTTAAAATCTTCATATTATCTTGAGCCCAGGATTTTATAGCTGAAATATTTTCAATTAGTAATGAAACGCCCTGTATATAATGGTTAACAACAACAGCTACAGTATAATGCACTAATTTGCCCTTTTGATAATGATCGTAGATTCTACTACAATGAATACAAAGAAGAGCAATAATTTGCCATAACCTGAAACACCCTGATGTATATCATTAATGTAAAATTTACTATTTTGCCCATTCAATCATTACAATATTAGCTCCTACTAATTAGTTAGAAGAAATCATCAGGAAGCAATCCATATCAACAAAAAAAGCATTATAACATAATAAGTAATTTCATTTCTTCCAAATATTTTGGATAAAAAACCCTGTAACAGACAAGAGTAATCTGTCTAAGCGATTTGGTTAAAATCTTCATATGTTGAGCTCAGGATTTTATAGCTGAAAGATTTTCAATCAGTAATGAAACGGCCTGTATATAATGGGTTACAACAACAGCTACAATATAATGCACTAATTTGCTTATTTAATAATGATCGTAGATTCCACTACAATGAATACAAAAAGAGCAATAATTTGCCATAACCTGAAACATCCTGTATAGCATTAATGTAAAATTTACTATTTTGCCCATTCAATCATTACAATTTATTAGCTCCTACTAATATCAGAGTAGGTAGCAATGATCCGTAATAGCTTGAAATACCCCGAGAAATACCCTCACACAATATCATCCGACAGCTCAGAAAAAGTATCTACATACTTTCATTCTCGGGGGAGTTAGAAGAAACCATCAGGAAGCAATCCATATCTACAAAAAAAGCATGATAACATAATAAGTAATTTCATTTCTTCCAAATATTTTGGATAATAAAAACCTGTGACAGACAAGAGTGATCTATCTAAGCGATTTGGTTAAAATCTTCATATTTTGAGCTCAGGATTTTATAGCTGAAAGATTTTCAATCAGTAATGAAACGCCCTGAATATAATGGGTTACAACAACAGCTACAATATAATACACTAATTTGCTTATTTTATGATGATCGTAGATCGTACTACAATGAATACAAAGAAGAGCAATAATTTGCCATAACCTGAAACATCCTGTATAGCATTAATGTAAAATTTACTATTTTGCCCATTCAATCATAACAATATCAGCTCCTACCAATATCAAAGTGGGTAGCAATTATTCCGCAATAGCTTAAAATACCCTTATACAATATCATCTGACAGCTCAGAAAAAGTACCTACCTCGATACTTTCATTTTCGGGGGAGTTAGAAGAAATCATCAGGAAGCAATCCATATCAACAAAAAATGTATAATAACATAATAAGTAATTTCATTTCTTCAAAATATTTCGGATAATCAAACCCTGAAACAGACAAGAGACACATTTTATCTAAGTGATTTCGTCAAAATCTTCATATTTTGAGCTCAGGATGTTATAGCTGAAAGATTTTCAATTAGTAATGAAACGCCCTGTATATAATGGGTTACAACAACAGCTACAATATAATGCACTAATTTGCTTATTTTATGATGATCGTAGATCCTACTACAAGGAATACAAAGAAGAGCAATAATTTGCCATAACCTCTGAAGCATCCTGTATAGCATTAATGTAAAATTTACTATTTTGCCCATTCAATCATTACAATATTAGCTCCTACTAATTCCAAAGTGGGTAGCAATGATCCGCAATAGCTTAAAATACCCTTACACGATCGCACGATATCATCTGACAGCTCAGAAAAAGTACCTATACATACTTTCATTTTCGGGGGAGTTAGAAGAAATCATCAGGAAGCAGGTCGCAGATCCACGAGAACTCCGTCATCTTACTTGTCAGTCCACCAGAAAACAAACCGCGAACTTTACACGAAACATGCCCCAAAAAAGAGTACTCCCGTCCAAGGATCAAACTCCTAGCCAAATAGAATCCGACCGTACGTGCATCGCTACTACCGGCGAGTCCACCAATTTCTCGAACGCCAAGCAGATCCACGGACAGCGTGAGATATACTGCGTGAACAATGCGAGGTGAAGGTTTCAGTGGTTTCAGCCCCATGCGCTGTTCTACCATTCCTGCTCCTGTGCTGTCTCTGTCTGTCCTAGAGCGAGGACAGGGCAATCCGGCAATTGAGTTACGAGGTGGTTTTGAGAATGAGCGAATCCCTACTGAAGAAATCCTTCACATACCTATTACACCCCAGCAAACACAGGGCAGTAACTGTTAAGTACTATGGAAGTCATTTTGCAACTAAAATCCGCGTGCGATGTACGGAAAACATCTCCTCCCGTTCTTATTTCCAGCGAAATGTCCTCGACATCAAGTACGCATTTCATTAATTGTGTTGTTCAAATTGAGATTTGGAAAAATCGCCCAAATAAAACATATATCCGTATAGCCACTGTGGAAGTTTTTGAGACAATAAATGTCTCATTTTTAATCACATTGGGCACATTCATGCGAGGATTTTCTGAGACTTCTCCATTCTATACCTTTTGATATGATGACTTTCTGCGATGTTACTCGATGACGATCTTTTCTACTAGAAATTCAACACATTTTGTGGTAATGAAGCTGTGGTTGTTTATTATTATCTTGAAATAATTATCACTGCATCTTAGATTTTTTGTTAACAAAGCAAAGTCTCAAAGTAACCACGTTCAGAACAAATATACGTAATGAAACTGAAAACATATTTCCATTTGCAATTTGGGACTTCGCGAAATCGCGAAACTGCCATGTTATGTTACGTGTTTGCTGGGACGGAAATAGTATATTGATTGACGAGCACGGAATGATGAGTGATTTCCCACGAGAATGAAGTTTGCAGCATGAGCCGTAGGCGGAAGCTGCAATCCTTCGAGTGGGAAATTAGCATTTCGTGCGAGATATGTATTATAATTTTTCTACGGCGTAGTATATTGATGAGCGAACATGGAATGATAGTGATTTCCCACGAGGATGAAGTTTACAGCATGAGCCGTAGGCGAATGCTGCTATCGTTCGAGTGGGAAATTAGCATTCCGTGCGAGTTGTACACTATGATTTTTCTACAGCTGTAACAGAAAACAGCGACATTTTTTATTTATTCGTCTTTTAGCCATCTGATTTCCTCTCAAGTAAAGCTCATCTATATTAGACAGAGCTGGACAATGGAGTCATTCAAATCATTGTGATATCAGATACGGAAAAAAATGTTGACATTAAAAGTACCTCATTGATGTATTGAACACAGTGAAACAAGTGAGGGACGTAGTTTTTGAAAGGTATCAGATTAGTATAGATGTAGTTTTCATTAGGTATTAGATTAGTATAGAGGTCAGATAATTTATACGACGCTATAAAAGCAGATATTTTATCATTGCTCATGTAAGATGGAAGTAGAGGCCATGGCACCATATCATGACCATATTTCTATATCGAAACTATCATTGGGCACCAAAGATGTGTAGGTATACGACGCTATGAAAGTTCAGAGAACTGTAGATCTTTCCCACACGTACGTACGTACGTGTGGGAAAGACTACGTACTTAGCCCACTCGACTGTCTTGGTTTTTCCACACAAACTATACGTACCTAGCCCACTCGACTGCCAATAGGGAATGAAAAAACAAAAACAAAAGAAAGTTCAAACAATGCCAACATATTGCTTCTTTGTGGGAAATCAAGACAGTCGAGTGAGCTAGGTACGTAGTTTGTGGGAAAAAATCAAGACAGTCGAGTGTGCTTTTTTACTTTCTTTCGTTTTTTGTATTGTTTTCTATTGGCAAGTGATTATCTAGGAACTTGTACATTTTTTAGTTTTTTGATCGTATCTCCCGAACTATTGAATTCAGAGAAAAATGTTATATGGATTTTTTGTAGATTTTATCGAAAGGAATAATTTCTATAACATTTTCAGATATTTCCAGTTGTTTTCGAGAAATTTGGAATCATCTGAGAATAAAATTTTCAACACTTTTGTTCCATCTTCCAATCAACAAAAGGAAAAAATATTTCATGGTTCAGTGGAAGTCGATGATCTTCATCTATCGATTATCTTTTGTTTTTCAATATATCTTCATGGTACCCTATGGGTCGAATAGTTCAAATTTTTGTTCTTCATATTTTTTACTTTATAGCCTGTACCATTGAGTTTACAAAAAAAAATTGGGCAATAATTTGTAGGAAATGTTCCAGTGGATAACTTTGCACTTCTGATAATTTTCGATTTTTCCATTTGTTTTCGATATATATTGAATTGACAGGATTTCAAATTTTGATGTTTTGATTTTCATTTGTTTTTCCATTTTCCGATGGATGCACGAAAAAATGGTGAAATAATAATTTGTTGCGTCATCAAAGTGGCATACGGTGCATTTTTCAAATTTGGATTTAGTCTATTGGTTCAGGAGATATGTTGTTTTAAAGCGAACCGTGTGTTTCGGAAAATCTCCTTGAAAAACCCACTTGGAGGTGAAAAATCGAAAAAACCCGAAAAAACCACCTTAGAGTTTTCCGATTGTCTTCACATTTTAATGACATAATATTGTTTTGAGTACAATAAGATGGCAAAATTTCAAGTCGATATGTCGAAATGTTCCGGAGTTATATCGATTTATGATTACCACAGAGTACAGACAGACAGACCACACACAAAAACCAAAGTTGCTCAAAATTCGATGGGGATCATCTTCTCCAAAGTAACTATACCTCTATCTCGCTTAGTTTCCGAGATAGCATTTTTGGCAAGGCCGTAGTATACTCCACTATGTATAGCATCGTATAACAGAGCAATTTTGTGTTATGGCCGTAGAAAAAAACATTTTTCTTCAACCTACACAAGAGTCGTCCTGTTGATACCAAAATTCGCTCTAGAATTTATGTTTCTATTACTGACACAAACCCTTGATTCATAGGTATGTTGCTAGGCAACACTTTTACCCAACACTGAGAGAAACTGGATATTAAAAATATCTACCAGCTCTGATTGTAATAACCTTTATAAGGAAATCTCCTATTCCTGATCATTTTATTATTACAACAGTATTCTCTCCATTCTGTAATTATTAAAATCGATTTCTTAAATCATTTGTAATACCCTTGAATGGACATTTGCTACCATCATAACGCAGGTGTGTTATGACATTATGAGAATTTTATAAATTCCAGTCTATTCAGATTTCTTATTGACATAGCTCGTTTTGTGAATTATGCTCATTGGCGAATTCAGATAATGTTTGTCCCAATAATCATAGCTGTTTGGGTTTCTAGCATTGTACGTTGACGAATAACTCTAGCAATTCACATGTATGACGGTTATTAGGCAATCATTCGACAATCGTAATTCGGCTCAGTTCGCTCTAGTGTTTCATTAGTATTGTGGCTGACAAAGATACAGATCGCGTTCATTTCTCTGTTCTCGGTCATGGGTGCCCGTGTACAATTATTTCGATCGTCCGAATCGAAAGAGCCGTGTCTTGTTGGTGAATGTCTGTGATGTAGCAAAGTTTTGTTTTAGTGCTGGCTGTGAACCGATCTGTGGAATACACCGTGCATTGCATTATTGCAATGAAAACAGTATTCTCCATACCCACTTTTCAAGGCCTAAAATTGGTTTATTTCAAAAACAAAATGATCGATGAGATTCTGAATCAAAATATCTGGGTTTCTGTGAGGGAAGTTTTATTGACAATTCGCACCATAACTCCGAAGGAAGGGTAAATATAAGTATTCAACTCCTCATTTCTTAAGCAATTCGTCAGTAATGCATATAGATGATATTTCTCCGAACAAATCAATGAGTAATGTCAAAAAACTTCCACAGATACCCGAATATTTCAATTCAGAGACTAAACGTATTTTTTTGTTTTTTTGAAAACAATAACTTTGGATCATGAAAAGTGATAGTGTCGATAGGATATTTATTTTCATTGCAGTAATTCAAAGCACGGTTTCATAATGCATACCATCGAATAATGTTGATAACCTTACTACCACTGTTGAAATGTCAGGTTTCATGCAGATATCAGATAACTATAATAAAATGAGACGAATTACTGCGTTACCTCAAGATGGTTGTGCTAGTAATAAAAACATGCTGTTTTATGTCGATAGTCTAATAACCACTGTAGAGTGGAGAGTTACTGCAACATTTTATGGGAATAATTCCTATTCGACATTCTGTGTTATCATAGAAACTAGAACAAGTAGTAGTTATTCAGCAGCGGTGTTTTTATACAAGTTTGCAAATTGAATAAGCTGCCATAACTACAAGTCACCTGAAAATTCACTTCATCTATGGTAGCACATGAACACATCTGTCCCCTATTTATTGCAGATATCGTAATAACGGTTATCAGATTTCCAATTATGATAACTCAAGTTTTCTCTCAGTGAAGCTGGAGATAGAAGAACACCATATTATAGTTATGTATTTTTGTTATGATTAGGAAAGTTTTGAAGATTTACATATTTGCTTGATTTGTATTCCATTCGTTATTCTCGGGATGGATAACTTGTTTATGAATAATCACGGCCAGCAATACTTTTTGTCTTACACAATGTTATTGTTCATTTCCATTTGATTACCGAGCCAAACACGATGGAATATAGAGATGGAGAAATAAATAATCGCAATTATTATTGTTGATATGCTCACTATAACCTGAACCGATAATTTTTATGTGAATTATTATCGATAATTATCGATAATTTTGCCCACATGCCCACCCCTACTATACACATTGAGTTACATAAATATAACTTGGGAGAGGAGCAACAAACCTTGGAAGAGGAGCTATTTGAAAACCAACGGTTGAAAATACCTCTAGAAACCAAATTTTCGAACCAATGAATGCTTTACTTTGATTTTCCCACAAAAAAATGTCAAGATGAGAGAAAAAGAATGACTCTACACACATTGACATACATACCTTGGAAGGAATGGAAGGGAAAGCAATTTTGAAGAAAACTATTGAAAATACCTAAAAAAATCTAA